ACAATATAAAAAATTTATCACAAAAAACGAGTTATTTTTACTTCACTATTTCCGTTTTATAGTTTTCTCTTTTTTTGCTATCTTTTGTTATATACACGATATATATTGTCACGACTCTTCGGTGCCGAGCGCGAATGGTGCTTGAACATAACACGGGCGTATATTCGTGCAATAGGATAAATGATATTCGGCATATCGTCCCCGACAACAAGCATGCATCACTTTCTCGAAGACTGCAACCGACGCGGATGATGAATCGTATCGCAGAGTCGTTTCATTTTTCACTTCCCCCGAAAGAAGCCTCATACATGATGCTACCCGGTGCTGTCTTTAATGTACTTTACGTGAAAAATATACGTTCACGCGGCGCGCCACGAACCTAGGCGCGGCAATAAATTCGAGTCGATAAATGCGCGATTTTTCTTTACCCTCGACACGTAACTCCGATGAAATATTTCGATGGATTAGCAAAAAAAAAAACGCATGTTAATATCGTAACATTTCTCTTGAGCCATTGGTGGTCACGTGAAATCGCGTGCTTTCATACATAGCAGTGTGCCTAAGAAACAACCGCGCTTCGAAAATAACTCTGATGTCAATGACTGAATCGACATCAATATTTAATCTTCGAGCTTTCGCGTCACATTGTAATTCCGATATTTATATTCACACGATGCTGATCAATTAAATACCAGTGTAATCATATGAGATTCGTAAATAATGTGAAAGCTAAACTTGTCGATTTGTTATTCGCATTGAAGTCGCTATTAGTCAAGCAGTTGTTTTTTTTTTTTTTTTTTTTTTTTTTGAACTTAAAGAACGCAAATCATCAAAGAACAAATCGATCCATTTGCGTTGTGTTATACATATTACGCGTCGAAATCAATTTTTCTTTGGCAATTAACAAGTTAAATTAAATTCTCGTAATATGATATGATAAATATCAGAATTGTTAGCTCCGTCTCTCGACATCTATCGCTAATATGTAAACGGGGGGGCGTGTGTCTCTCTCATATCGAGTTTCAATAGCGGCACTTTCAGACGCCGTCGCGCATACGTATTATGCATCGTAGCATTATTAATGCGTCTCGCGAAGACGAGCGCGCGATGCACCATGTCTATTAAATTCGGTCGGATGCTAAATATGCTGATTCGTCGCCGCAGGTGGTGACGACGGAATGACCCGGAGGGCAAGGCAAAGGAGAAAAGAAGAGACCGACGACCGATTTTCAAGCGATTTGTGCACATATACATATACATATATATATATATATATATATACACGTATATGCTGAACGAACAAGTTCTGGGAAATCTTCTCGTCAATTCGCATAAAGAAAAACAAATCTAATATTGTACTTATATTACATAATTTTGTTTTTGCGCAATATGATACCCAATAAATACGGGTGTAACGAGAAATGTCTTATCTAAGTTTATAAACTGCTTGAGAGAAGCTTTAAAGAAGCAGCGCGATAAGAAATTAATCACGCGACTGTTTGTCTCTGCAGCATTTAAAGTATATATGTCTGCAAAATAACGATAACTGGAGAAATGTATTTTCTTATTGCTCTTGAATTTGACTTATGATTTTTACAAAACAACATAGACTCGCACGAAAGATAAATAAAACGAGTTTTTTTTTTGTAGATGTTTTTTTTCGTACCGAGAACTCTCGATTGCCAATTCGTCGCACTTCGAGAAGTACGGAGTTGCCATTCGCGCATATATTTATCACCGTCGTTAATAACGCAGGAAAAAAAGCCTTATCGCCTACCGCAACGAATTTTTTGATGGTTGCTTGTGCCCGAGTGGTTCGACGGTTGCTAAGAATAAACTTCGTCAGTTTATAAAGACAAGCCAAGAGTAAAACTTCAAAATCTTTTCAAAGTCTTCCACACATAAATTAATAAAAAAAAAACACACACACACATTTTCTCTTCACATATTTATTCTTAACTTCTGTGTTGTTAAGGTTCGTTGTATAATATAGTTTTTGTTTATTCTACTCTGTTGTAAAATGTGTACTCTAATTATGTGTCCAAAATTTGTTTGAAATATGTTAGCAATTCTTTGACAAAGATAATACTGTGAAACAATGATTAATAACGGCTCTCGATGGAACAAATTATAATACAACGAAAAAACCAAAAAACCTATGATCCAGGTTGAAGGTGGACGTTTAAATACACTATAAAAAGCAGTGTATTCCGAACGTGTCGATCACTCTTTATTGTTGATCATCACGTTCACCTTTAAACTGAACCATAGGCTCTTTTTTTCTTTGAATTATAATCTGTTAAACAAATTGGACATTTTATTATTTACAAAAATAAATTATTTTATTGTTTACGAAAATACAACTATCTGAATGATATTTGTTTTTGACGATAAAACCATTCTTTTCTTATTATAATTTCTCCTTATAGATATACATATTCCTCTAGTTTTACGAGAACGTGAATGTTTATAGAGATTGAACCTTTTCCTTTCATTTTAGTCCGTACCATGCGACGAAGAGAGCGCGGAAAGAAGCGGAAGAGAAGGAAGAGATGAAAGAAAAAGAGGAAGGCGAGGGTGAACGCACTCGCCACACCCTGCCTTAAAGATTGTAAACGATTATTAATGCTCCACTGCGGCTGACCCGTAACCCGGCGGTGTGGTTCTTCTCTTAACATCTCGCCTCATCCCTCTCATCACCCCAATCTCCTCTCCCCAACCCTTCTCTTTCTCCTTCAAAATAATCTCGACTACTCAAGATCATGAGGATCGCTTCTCAACGGAATCGATCCTTATCCGGCTTTTTTCGTAATTAGCCGGTTGGAAGCTCTCACTCCGTGAGGGATAAATAACACTGGGGTTATGTCTGGCCACGTTAACTAATTTGCGTAACACGCCGTAGGCTCGCATCGAAATCTTCGCGCCAGCGAATCATCCAGCCGTTGCAAACGTGATGAGTTATTATTGGACAAGGAACGAGAGCGAGAGAGAGAAAGAGAAAGAGAGAGAGAGAGAGAGAGAGAGAGAGAATGCAATAAAATATAAAATCAAAATACGTATAACCAACAAATTACATTAAGTTATTTTAATAGAAAAAGATTCGAGCGTTATATTTAACATTCTCGCTACTTTAAAATATACTTAAAGTTAAAAAATGTTTACTAAATTTCGATCTAATGTGTCCCGCATTTAGAATTAATTTATCAATATAATTTTATATTATAATTTTATATTTAAATATCACAATATGAATTGCAAAAAAAACTTAATTAGATATCTTATTGTTAGATAAAAATTGTTAAGCCCCATATATGTATATCACATCTTTAAAGCTAAAATCTTCCAAATGCTGCAGGATGAACGCGAAAATTATGTATTACGTCAGTTCGACGTAAACACGATAACGCAACATAAAAAATAACAAGGCGATGTCACACGGCATGAGTTATATTCCGTAAATCTCGCGATCTTTGCATGCACACGCAATAATATTGCTCGATCGAAACGAGATCGCATATCCTTTCATTAAGAAAACCGTTCGAACGATTTGCGGAATGCGCTTGAACGCCTTCGATAATTAATGACGAAAATAAATGAGCCGCGGAAAGAGACGGGGCAATACTGACGTTTTTCGTAAGGTGTTTACGCGATTTCTGCTTTCCAAGTTAAAGTCCTGTTTCGAAATATCGGAACTGCGCGTTCACAAAGCATAAGAGTTTCGAAGTCTCGAGAAAGATCTGGCGCGATATGACGAGTATAAAGATAACGAGGCAGTACGAAAAGAAGTCGACGAGCAATTATGCAAATCGCGCGTGACACGTGCTACGGTATGATGACGGTGCTCATTATCGAGTGATCTTGCGACAAAAAACAGTGCGAAGTAGAAACAGAATCGGCCGTAGAGATACAGACGCGAATGAGTGTGTCTCGCGATGCTCTGAAAATAGTGAGACCTCGGGATTACAGGCGGAAAAATAAAATCAGAAGAAACAACGGCAAGGCGCGTACGAAGGGCAACGTCGCGCGTCGGTAGTCCTGTTACGTTCGTATTTACGAGTCGATCTCAACCACTCAACCGATATTCCCGCATAATTTTAATATTCGATGTCGTCCCGTCGCGTCGCAGAGATGCAACACGATATGGTACGTGAGTAAAGATAACGAGACGGCATAAAGGCGGGCCGACGCTAAAATTATGCAAATCGTCTGTTGCATTTACGGCGCGACGTCGATACGTTCGATAAAGGTGGGATTTAAAACACACGCGCGCGCGCGCATATACGCGCTTATTTGTCGTAGCCTCGTGAAACGCGCGATTAATCCTGGGTGGCGTCAATATAAAACAGAATATTTCGCATACGATATTTCCGATGAAGACGGGAATTGGACGTGTGACAGGAGTTTACGGTAGTCTCGCAGATTCGTATTCGTTCTTGATTGGCAAGCTCATTCGCATATGAATGATATAGCAAATTCGACGATTAAACGCGCTACTGCACGCGTCTAAAGGAATTTGTTAAGAAATAATTATACATTTATCTACGGTTTTATCTACAAATACCTATCGTAGAAATATCGCACGTTTTAAAAATTAATTTTTCAAAATAATCAAAATTAAATTTTCACACTAAAAATTATTAATATATACATGTAATATTTATCTATAATATACTTGGTATAATAAATTTCAAATATATTCATTAGGCTTAAATAAATTACAAAATGATAAAAAGTGAAAAGTGCGATAATTCGTTCGCGAAATTGTTTCTTCATCTCACGAGAGCATATGCGCGAAGGGAGAGAAATACGGCCGTGGCCAATTGATTCCACGTGGCATTGACCGGAGACAGACGGGACTCGACCGAGAGATTTAGTAATCGGAATGAAAAGAAACCCGACCGAAGAAACGATGCGGAGGACACACGGCGTAAGCCAGAGAAGAAGACCGCAACGTAAAAAGAACGTTACAAGGAAAAGATAGAAATAGTGTCGTGACTCACCATGAAAACCATGAACCTTGATTGCAGGTTGGCGCTCCTGATGTAAGTCAGCGTTTCCAGCCACCGTGATGATCGCCGGGGTGGTGTCCGCTTCCACTTCTGCGTCGCAGACCGTTCTTCGTCGCACTCGACAGCCGCGAAAGAAAAACAGTCGATCACACTTTACTATAAATTCACCGGGTTCCTTTTTTCTTCGTTTTCTTTTTTGTTTTTTGCCTCAATTCGACAACGTATAAGAGGATGTCAAAAATTATTGTCGTTGAGAGAACTACGATAAACCGATGTTTATCTTTTTTTTTATTTTTTTATTTTTTTTATTTTTTTTTTATTTTTTATTGCTTATGAGCGTGCGAAACAGTGCAAATCTACGCGCAACTGTATTTCTAATCACTATGTAGTCGCGATTTTAGCCGGCGATTATTATCTCTTCAGCCGGAAATATTATTGACTACAAATTAATCTAGCTAAGTAACTTATTAATTGGCTATCGGTAAACGCAGATATTGGTCGTCTACCGGCGTTTCGATTGGCATACTGGCATGAATACTGGCCCGTTCGGTTCCGGTTACCTGCAACATACAAACGCGCGTCATCATTAGAAATTGTCGTCTACGAAACTCTAAAAATTAACGTTGCAGAAATCATAATTCCGGTCGCGGACAAAACAGTGCAAATTTAGGCCGAGAAAAAAAAACGGCAACTGAAATAAAGATTACTCTTCTCGAATCACCGTTGAATTTCGTGCGAACATTGCTATATGAATTGTCTAATTGCATTCATGTAATCGTTATTTCTTTTTCCAAGAGCAAAAAATACTTATTTAAATAAAACACACAAGCTAACAAACAAACTGCAGAAGTCAGTAATTTTTATATTGCATTAATCTGTATTAATTAGTAAGAGAGCAAATTAATGTTCACAAATCAATTAATAAATATTCATCATTAAATATTATAATAATTTCAAATGTATTGATGCGATTGGAGAATATTTTCGTACGATCAAAATAAAAAGCAAATTAAAACTAATGAAAGAAATGAATCGGCGCGAAGTCTTTATTGAGACGGAAGTGTCGACCTCCGTTATATTTCATTCCGAGAATCCAGCATGGCCGATCACCAGAAAAAAAAAACGTATTAGCAGATCAGATAATAGAATGAGCAAATGCAACGGCATCATTTTGCAGGGCGCGGTTGACTGTGCCAGGCCGGGCCCGTATGACGCACCCGGTCTTTATTTAAATCATTCGATCCGTCACGCTAAAATCGATTAGCACTAATAGCCAAGGAAATAGAGTTCACTCCGTGGCTACGCAGCTATTCGAAGTGTTTTCTATCATACCGCGCGTGCCTATCATGATTCTGCGATCATCTCCAAAACATCGATCGATCAATTTTCAAGCGATTATAATACACGAATCATATCGCGAAAAATTGACGCATGGAAGTTTTTTTTCTTCTTCACATGAAATAAACGGAAGAAAGACAAATATTTGTCGAGTGTGTGCTTCCGATGATAAACTTGAACAATCAATAATTTTTAGACGAGCAAGAAAGTGCGAACGTGTTGCAAACGTTGCGAATAGAAAGTGCATTGACTAAGTAATTTTGTTTAGTACATTTTCATAGAATACTTGTCATACATCGCGATAAAGTTCAACAATTAGAAGATATTTAATCGATATTAAAGATACTTTACTATGTGATACAAGTAATTGTTAAGTTCTGAAAAACCGCCATACACACGGTATATGTGTGTGGACGGTAGTTAAACTTTCAGTATAATTATTGACCGCGACACACAGTTCTTTGACTATAATCGACCTCAAACTACGCGCAACGAACAAAAGTACAATGAACTGTATACACAATACGCTATCATAAAAACCTATCTACGTCATCATAATTCTATAGTAACAAAGTTTCAAATAAAAAAGTTGTCTATAACATTTAAATTATAAATTATTACACAAACTATTTAGTAAAACTTTTTTCTATGTTAAATATACAATATAACTCTAAATGATGTAATCGTTTAAGATTTTAGAGAAGTTATACGTTAAATACTATATTTTTTTATACAGGCTTATACATGAAGAGAGTGAATAAGCAATTGTCGAAGATATAAAAACTTGTATCTAATTAAAAATGTTACGTGATAAAAACTGGTCAAACCGGCGTTTGAAATATATCGGTGTTTGGCATCGTTCGCGCGCTCGCGTTTGACGGTGACCGACGATCTTCTACAACTACGACGGCCGCCGCACGTTTCTATAGGTTTATGAATGAAGCACGCGTGCGCGACGACTGGAACACCGTGTGTAAGAGGCGGTGTGGCAGCGAAAGTGACTTGCTCGGAGAAGCATACAACGATGTGTACGCGCGCGCACGTGTACGCACATCGTGCAGGTATAGAGAAACAGAGAGCAATGTCTATAAAACTAGCATTCGTATCATCAATAAAGAAATAATTAAATTTAAAAATTAGTAACTAAGTGATGTAAATTAAAAGTAAATATTCAATTAATCTTGCAGAGATTACAAGTTAGAACGCTCACTAATGCAATACTAAAAATTTAGCGCAACATGCTATTCATTAAAATGCAGAAAAAATTATATCAGAATCACTTATTGTCGGGGCAGTCTCGCAGTTTATTATCAATCACCATTTGTCACAATCAGTAGAAAGTTATATATATAATAAAAAGTGTGAGATTAATAAAGTATTCGCGTATTCATGAGAACCAGATAAGCGACTTTCTCTACGAGATTAAACTAATGATTGGATGATCTCACTCGAGGTAAATGAGATAGCCGCGTATGCCAAGGTGCAATGATAATCAGATTGAACTTAAAACTTTCATGGAAGTTTAAGATAATAACCGTTCTCACACGAAACAACATATAATATAACATTTTAAACCGCTTTAATCTGGAATAAAGTGAGAAAGCATTAAGTTTCTCGATCGTCGTTTACATTAAAGAAATTGACCGAATTGAATCTTTAATAATAATAATAATAATAATTCTGTAGATAAGCTCTTTTCACAAGAGAGCTCTGCGGTTTATTATTCTCGAGAGAAAAAAAAATTTACAGAAACATGGTTTACTTATCTTTCCCATAAACATCACATTTTTAGAATAAGAATTTATATAGCAAGACATAAAAGTAGACTGTCTAATCTAGCTACAAGATATAAAAGGGAAAGTTGCATACAACAAACTAGTATTTTATAAAAGCACATTTAGTTCTTAGAACAATATTTGAAATTATAATTATGAAATATCTCATAAAATACATCTATAAAATTACTAAATATATATATATAAATATCTCTGTTCAAATTATATTATAAACACGCACGAATTTAGACTAAATATTTTTCGGACGTAATAAGTAATAGACTTACATCAGAAGTTAAATATATTATTATTTTTCAAAAAAACAAAAAAAGTTTTTCATAACATGTAGATGTTTTCTGGAAAATTTCCCTGAAATATTTTGTTTTGTAATTTATAACTATGTATATTCAACTGCGTATTACACTGTATTATAATATACCGCTCAATTCTCTTGAACAATTATTTCGGCAACGCAATTTCGTTACGCCGCGTTAACCAAAAGGAAAGACAGAAAAAGAGATACGCACACAACCGCATTCGCTTCAATCTCGATTCATCACTATCACGTTGTCTTAGTAATCTACATGCGGACCGGTTGTACGACGCGCAAATAATTGCATTATACGGCGCGTTAGATAATGATCAATGCGTATCGAGTCGAATTCCTGCATGCGAACTCGGTCAGATTTACTACCGTCGAAACATTACCTTATCCGGCCTTCTCTATCCGATCGCCTTGAAAACACAACCGCAGTTGGTAGCGCAGATAGCCGCGCCGAATGCCAGGCATAAATTCGAACATACTTGCGTGACACGATGCACATCACGACAGTGCATCTTGCGAAATGTAATCGATTATTTCGTGAATGCATTTGTAAGATCTCTCTTTCTGCTTAAAAAATGCCAAGAAAGATGATAAACAATAAAGTACTCGAGCTCAATAGAATTCAAGTTATATACACACTTATTTCTTATAATTTTAGTAACAATTTTTCCAACAAAAGCAAATTATGTTTTACGTTGCACGAAAGTAAACGATGTAGTTGTGGTAAATAGGTCAGCAAATATATATCTTATTTATTGGCAAATGATAATTATATTGTATGTCAAAAAAACATATAATTTTATATCAATTACTGTAGTTCAATTTGTTATGCATAATCGCGAGATCATAATTCACGAAAGTTTTAATTTCCCGAACGAGATTGGCGGAACGTCGGAATTACGTAGGCCACGATTGCTAAATCAAAGTCACTTAAAATTAGAAGCAGAGCCCGTTCGGTCGAGTGAATAATGAAGCTCGAGAAGGTAAGAGCTTCGCGAGTTCATCGTACCATCGATCAATGCCGCTTTTTCTTCGGCGTTCATTTCTCCCCGGATAAGTTCGATCGCTCATTTTGTTCGCCGATCTTCTAATCCGATTGATCGATCTTCGATTCGCGATGGCGCCATTAGTTTCTTCGGATCGTGACGATGGATCCATCAACACCGCAAATACCATTAGCGCATACCGCGGCTTTTTGCAATTAACCTTACCAATGATTGTGAAACCGCCAGCTATCTCGCTAACCTATCGAACCTCGTCTTCATTAATTAATCTAATCACTCTCTATAAGCTAACCCGACTTTCGTCCCATCATCGCACTAGAAAGTGGCGATGTCGATCGCCAATTATTTCGGCGCGCATCATAAGTAATATAATTTTGAATAATGAAAGGCATTATTTGATCTTAACTTTTATGTGCGAAAGACATTCACGGCACCAACTGTATGTAGAACTCAACAACAAGTTTGTCTTATCAATGGTATGACAACAGCATTACACCATATTTTCTCTCTCGAGTTATCTCACAAATTGCGAAATTAAAAAACTATGTTATAAGACCCCGTGATAACATCGAAACGAGTCCAGATATTACGTAGAAATGCCTAAGCACATTAATATACTCCTCTTTCTTGCTGAAAACATTGACATCAATTTGAAACTCGTCCGACTAAAGATCTTATCGATTTATTTCGAAAGTGAACTGTGCTCGTGCATACGAAAAGCGAGTGTGCGCACACGTCAGTGCATATGAATATAAGCGTTTGTGTAAATGATCACATAAAACACCGACTGTTTATTTGTGTAAAAAAAATTCTCTTAAAATAAAAATCTATTTTCAGAGAATATTATACTTGAGTAAATGTTTAATTATACCATATAAAGTAGCGATGTTTCTACATTGAGATGTCATTCACAATTTATAATAAACGCATGACACATCAAATAGAAAATAGTTTATTACATAAAACTGTATAGAAAGATCGTTCCACCATGTGGAGAACTATGTATTAATGAAGCGCGTATTTTCAGGAACATTTGCGTTTACGTGCAGACACAACGGCTCCGACTCGAGTGTAATCTCCAATGCGTGTCGCATAAATGACACGTATCGAAACGGATA